TCAACATGCAAATTAGGCGGCTTCAATCTGTATAATAAATGTGGGGAACTCCAAAAAAAAAGACCAAAAACACATATACTTATAGCGGGGTAATTCGCATTGGTAGTGGAAGTGGGATTGGAGCTGGAAATGCGACTGGAAGTGGGACTGGGAGTGGAGAATCGATGTCGACTGAGGGTCTTCCAAATGGCCAATCGTATGTCGGAGCTACCTCAGTCATGATTTGAACTATATTTGGTAAAAAACTAAACCTACAATCTATGTAAATGTAAGAAACATTTAACCTACGAAAGATTTATATGGGAAGATTTTTAAAGATTTTAGGATACATTTAAATTTTACTTACTAACTCTTGAATTCAAAACAAAGTCATCTAAACAATAACTATATTTTAACGTGTCACCAAAGAATCATCTGGGTTTTTCCTTCCATTAAATACATTTAAGCCTTTATTATGACCAGACTGAAACCCATTTAACACAAACACAAATCAATAATACATTGTCTTCTAAATCAGCCAATTCAGCAGATTATCAAATACTTTTACTCAACAAAGTCATCTAAATTAAGTCAGACTAACTCAAGTCAAGATACTTATATGTATCTTAAGCTTGACTCATAGGGGGAGAGAGAGAAAATATAAAGAATCCAGTCGATGATGAAGCTGATGATATAACAATTCAATTAAACCAGTTTACAATCGAGGCATCTGCAAAACCTTAACGGCAAAGTTCTGTATTTTTTTTTATGTGGATTTCATGCAAATTATTCTAACCAGCTCAGATTGCAGTGGATATTTTTCACATTTTTATTTTTCTTTATTAACTTTTTTAAAATCCGCTTTTGCATAATGGATCTGCTGGGCCGGTAGGGGCTATTTTTGGGCAAGTTCCCGATCGCAGCAACTGCAGTTGGTAACAAGTGTCAAGTGGCAGCACAATTATTGGCCAATACATAGGCTTATATAGTGAGAAGCAGAAACAGATATACTCTCGGACTTGTACTCTGACCAAGACTGGTTAAGATGCGCTCAAAAATGACTTCAATCCGTTCGGATGGCCAACTCTGATTGTGGTGAGGGATCGAGAGGGTAAAGGGGACAAAAACCAGCAGGGGGTGCTATGAAATGTCCAAGATGGCCTTCGGTGATTTTTGCAGCGATTAAAAAACCGATGACGATGTCGACGTCTCCACTGGTTTACTTAGCATTCAAAGTGGCGCAAAGAGATTTATACGAATTGTTGCGACAATTTCAGCTCTTGACAATTTTTTTGCTCTTGACTCATTCAATTGAAATTCTTTAGCCATGTTGTTATTGTTTTTATTGTCTTTTAATGATGTTGTTGCTGGCCAGCAGCATCTCGACACTTTCAATGTTTAACTTGACTGACCTTTTGCCACGAATAGTTCTCTATCTATGTATCTATATCTGAAATGAATCTTTAAATCTTTTTACATGGCTGGCACAGTTTCCAAAGCTACCATTTTAATTGGGTAGAGCCCCGGCTTTATGGGTTTTTAATAGATACATCCTACAAGGCCCATACCGTAGGTGCTATAAAGATTTATGCTTCTCAAGATTTATGCTCGACTTTGGAAACATGTTGTGGGTTTATTTACTATTATCTTAACAATAATTGAAGCTTTGTAGTAGATCAGATGTTTATCTAATTCCTAGAAAAGTATAACCCAAAATGGGAATTTCTTATTGTTTTCTGTCCATGTCAAAAGTCAAATTCCTTAGGCACCCACATTAAAAATATTTTTTATTACTTCCCTACCATTTTTTACAATATTTTTTTTTTATTAAAAAACACACCTTTTTGTGAGGCAGCAACAATGCTCCTCCCAGGCAAGTTAAGTTCCCAGATCAATATGAAATATCATTCCAAATATGGCCTTGGGTCATTTAGAAAGCAATTCATCGAAGACGAGGCTGGATCTCGAACTGAACTCTTCGATCTCCAAACAAAGAAAATAAAAATAGAAATAAAAAAAAAAGTTGAATAAAAACTACCGTGGGCTACTGCCAAAAATGCTACCGGGAAGAGTAAGCGCGATAAACATTAAAGATTACCCATTTTAACCATTGTCTTTGATAGCCTCAAACCAAATAAACAACCTAAAAAACTACTTTAAAAAAAATACTTTTTGGGTTGGGTTGTTTTTAGTTTTTTTTTTAGGATTTTTATTGCATTTTTCCCTCTTTGGTTTGGGCATCCTCCTGGTGGAGCATCTTCTTGGAAAATTGCAGTTTTCTAATTGCTTTTGGCCAGCTCGTTAACAAATTTATTATAATGCCGAGGGCCCCCTACTTCTTGGCCAATTGCATAAGTTTGTTAGTCGTTTTCCTTCGTATAGTTTTTCTTTTTTCCTATATTTTTTTTATATAATATCGTTAATACATATTATTTGGCAAGCTTTTGTTCATGCTCCGACCAAAAAGACTTGTACTTTGAACTGCGAACTCCCAACGGAGCTGGTTGGGAGCTTCGAAGCCTGATCAATGGACCTGGACATGTAAGCATCTGCCGAAATTGACAGACAAAATGGTATTCTCTGGGATGCAAGGAGGACGGATGGATAGATGGATGGATGGTGGGGATAGAGAGGTAGATGGGTAGGTAGCCCCCTGTGCAGTGACCCAAAGAAATGGTAATGCGAGCCGGCTCGTCTTCGCCATCCGTTTGGGTCAAAATGCTCCATGGTTGGCCACTCAGTCATTGAGTCAGTGGGTGCAACTGCAGTCTGCAGTCTCCCGCGCCAGTCTTCGTGTGAAGATCTGTGAGAAGTATACAAATGGGTTTCAGGTTCGGTTCACTCGCCGCAGAAGAAGGAGTTTACTCATTTTGTTGCAGGTTTTTTGTGTTTTTTTTTTCTTCTCCAAACTCTACGGCGGCTTCGATGGTATCGCCTTTGAAATCCACGACAGCGACAAAGCCAGACTCATGGCCTAATAGACATGGAGGAGTCCCCTAGACTTGGCCCAAACCCAGGTCTCAGGTCCCCAGGTTTGAAGTCGCAGGCAACTTCCTGCAGTACTTTTGGGATGATGATGATGATGATGAGGCCGTTCGTCTGGGCCTAGACTTTCACTATTAATTGTCGATTTTCATCAATTGTTGTTCATTGTGTTGTACTAGTTTTTGTTGCTTAATGGGTAATGGGGTTGGTATTTAAAGTTGTACAACAAAAACTAAATAAATAAAAGTAAAATAAAATAGAAGAAGACGAGAAGAAAACCCAATTTCTGTTTCATATCGAAATTGGATCTATTACTCAATGAAGCGACCGAGTGAGAGACAATTTGATTGATTTATGCAATACCCGGGCGAATCATCGGACCTTTTCTCCATTGTCAGTTAATTGCTGAATGCAATAGAAGATTTCGGTTATATCATGACCAATTTCTGTAGACTTGGTGTAGGCTTTCCGCTCATTTGCATTTTGGAGCAACATTTCGATGGCATTCTATGCAACAAAAAGCGATTGAATATGCCGACAAAATAAAGTCTTTGAATATTTGTCACTGACAGAGTATTTTGGGCCAAAAATGGGGAGAGTCATAGAACTAAAGTTATGAGAATCTTAAGACATGAATTCTTGATGAAACTTGAAATTTTGGTAAACATATAAGTACTTTGTTGAAAGGCATAAACCATATTCAAAACCTTTTCCTCCAACTATCATGAATATTTATAAATTGCCTATATTTATACTTAATATTTATCTATATATCTCTATCCATTATTTTCTGTTTTTATGAGTGCCCTCTATGAACTGTGTCCACGTTTTTTTGTTTTCAAGACAACTGACACGACAGCCGAGGAGGCAAAAACAACGCCAAACGAAAATCATTTATTAATTTGTCAAATTCAAGCCAAGACAACACCACACGTTAGGAAATCCAAAATCTTGTGGGCTATGATTATTATTTTCGTGTTGGAGTCACTTTGGTTACCTTTGTTGCTGTTTGTTGCCAGTTTATAACTAATTCTCGCAGATAAAAAGTGTCAAAAGAGTCAGCCGGCCAGAAGTCAACTAAAGTTGCTAAAAAATCGGTACAAAAAAAAATAATAAATATATATATATATGTATATATGGTTGATTAGATATATATGAGCATGTGTGAATAATAGTTTTGTTGAAGTCTATCTGATGATTATGCCTGCTTTAATTAATGGCTAATAAGATTTGTTGACAGTTTATTATTTTCTTACCAAAAAAACTAAGACAAAGGGTAAATATATAAAAATGAAACTAAAATTATGTAAATTATGAAAAATAGCTGCAAACTTTTGCCGACATTTTGCAATGCGAATCAGACAAAATATTTATTATAATCAAAAACTGAACACCCGCAACGTGGCCAAGCCAAGCAGCAACACGGGAACGTGCAACATCGGACAACACAATTTATTACATTTTATGTGCCGCATTAACTGAACGATGGAGATGTGATCCTCGTTTAGGTTTGTTTCTTGTATTTTTAGTACGTTTTTTTTTTGTATTTTTGGCTACATCTTTTTTTTTTGCTGCAACGTGAGCTTGCCTCATGGCTAACCCCGCGACACAATGAGGAGGTGTCTCTTGGCAGCATTGGTTATCCGACGAAAAATATATCCATATATTTATTTATTTTGACTGGGATTGGGCATGAGACTGGGTACTCGGACGCGGTCTCGGATTCGGATTCGGACTTGGTCTGAAGAAGCTGAGCTTTTCTAATTAAGACATTCGATACGGCGCGCTTGCGTGTAAAACGCAAGACAATTGGGCAATGGAATACAAGCAGCAACAGCAACATTAGCACGGCAGCATTATGAATCTGCTCATATCTGTATCTAAGCGACAGTAGTCATTGCAGACATATTTGGCATTTCACCAACCATTTAGCATTAAGCTCACCCCTGAGACTCTATGTGGCATTCACGGCTACTTAGCCACGAGTATTCTAAATTGCTAAAGACCTTTTTCCGCCTCGTTTTTCATCCTTGCAGGTGCAGGTGCAGCAATAGCAACATCCACTGAGTCGAGGAAAATAGGAAAATTGCTGGCCGACCTGAGTCCACGGGTCGCGGGGAAATTGAAAAGCGAGAAAAGTGACAGTAACAGCGGTAGCAGCAGCAACAACTGTGACAGCCCAGCAGCGACATCAGTAGCTGCTACCACAGCGGCAACATCAACGACCCCAACAACAAACTCTGCAACAGGAGGAGTCACTGCTACTGCAACTGCAACTGCAACAGCAACTGCGAAAGCAACAACAGAAGCAGCAGCAGCAGCAATAAATTCAACAAAAATCAGCCAAGTTAGGCTCAATAACCAAGCGACAACAAGCATGTTACTTTTGCAACCCAATGTAAGTTCATAAATACGCATATAACATGGATAAATTAATAGAAAGTTGGGTGAAAAGAAATTAGTTTTTTATAGGATATTGTTTATAAAAGACTAAGCGTTTATGACTCAATTGTATTTGCTTAGAAAAGTACTTGAAAGTCAAAGATCGAAGTTTTAGAGCTCAATTAGTGAACGAAAAGCCAAGCATACAAGGCTCCTTTTAATTTAATTTTAATTTTATTGAAAACTTTAGGCTTTTAAAAAAATAATCCATCGGGATGAGGGTGTTAAAAATAAAGTATGCAAATTTTCTTAAACCTCAACATGAATGGCAGTGCTAATTGCCAGCTGCGAGTAGGTGATTTGTGTTTTGACGGAGGACAAGTTTTCCGGGCACAGAGAGGTGAGTAGAGATCAACATATGTATAATTAGATAGCTATTGTTGAGCAAGAGATATATGTGTGTTTTGGGAAAAAATTTTGGCATAACCATAACCAATTAGGAAATGATAATCGAAGGGTTTTCCAAGTGATAGGGGTGGGTTTTTCGCACGGTTCTGGCCAATAAGAGTTGCGGCAGGAAATGCGCATGACGCAGGTTTCGACGGCGAGACTCCACCCTTAGGGCTAGGATATCTAGGAGCGGCTAACGGACTAACTAACTCATTCGTTCCTGAATTGTCTGTCGTTGCAGAGCTCCTTTAGTTCATTGTCGCCCTTTGATAATTTCTCCACACAATCCGCGACGACGAATACAACTTCGTCGGCAGCTGGCCACCAACTAATCCATCAGCAACATCATCATCAGCAGCAACAGCAGCAGCATCTGCAACAGCAGCAACAACATCATCACCATCATCATCAGCAGCAGCAGCAGCAACATCTGCAACATCAGCAAGAGCAGCAACAACAGCAGCAGCTCCTGAGCCCCCAACAACACCTCTTGAAAACCGAGTCCTTGCTGTCCCATGAAGAGGATCAGTTGATCAGCAACCTGACCGAATCGGCTGTAGTCTCCCACAGCGAGCTCTTCTCGGATCTCTTCTTCCCCTCGGACTCCAACAACTCCCTGCTCTCGCCCACCACCAGCGGCTATCCCGATAATCCCGCCGAGGATCTGACCAGCTCCATTGAGAATCTCACCAAGTTGACTTGCTTGAGGGACAAGCGATTGTCCTCCATTCCCGAACAGCAGCTGAGCTCCGAACAGGAGCAGCAACTGTGTTTGCTGAGTCTGCGATCTAGCAGCGATCCTGCCATTGCTCTCCACGCCCAACAGCAGCAACAACAACAGCAGCAGCAGCAACACCAGCAGCAGCAACATCCCCAACAACATCACCAGCAACTCCAGCTGATCTCGCCCATTGGAGGGCCCTTGTCCTGCGGCAGCAGCTTGCCCAGCTTCCAGGAGACCTATTCCCTGAAGTACAACAGCAGCAGTGGCAGCAGCCCCCAACAAGCTTCCGCATCTGCCTCGGCATCCGCATCCGCGTCCGCCTCTTCATCCAACACCGCTCCCACGCCCACAGACCAGGTGCTGACTCTCAAGATGGACGAGGACTGTTTTCCGCCCCTGGCCCCGGCAAGCTGGAGTGCCAGTCCACCGTCGCAGCTCCAGCAGTTGCATACAATGCAATCCCAGTCCCAGATGTCGCATCCCAACAGCAACAGCAATAGCAACAACAACGGTGGTGGCGGCAACAGCAACAACAACAGCGGGGCATACAACTACCATGGGCACTTCAACGCCATCAACGCCAGCGCCAATCTGTCGCCCAGCTCCTCGGCCAGTTCCTTGTACGAGTACAACGGTGTGTCCTCGGCGGACAACTTTTACGGACAGCAGCAGAGCTATCAGCAACATGTAAGTGTTTCTCAGACTTACTTAAAGTATAATTTATTATTTTAACTAATTATTTTAATGTAATTATATAAGTTCTAATGTAACAGTCCACACGTTCCAAAAATATATTGAAAATTTATTTTATTTTTTATTTGATTTTTTAGAACTACAACTCGCACAATGGCGAACGGTACTCGCTGCCGACGTTCCCCACCATATCGGAGCTGGCGGCTGCCACCGCTGCCGTAGAAGCAGCAGCAGCGGCGGCCAACGGTTCCTCCTCATCGGCTGTGGGAGGTCCAGCTCCTGTGCGACGAGCATCTTTGCCCGTTCAGCGGACCGTCTCACCAGCCGGCTCCTCGGCGCAGAGCCCGAAACTGGCCAAGATTACGCTCGGCCAGAGGCACGCCCACGCTCATCCCCTCCAGCTGAACTCGGCCCCCAATTCAGCGGCCAGTTCGCCGGCAAGTGCTGATCTCCATGCGGGCCGTATGCTTCCAGCTCCATCGCAACTCTGTGCGGTTTGTGGTGACACCGCGGCTTGCCAGCACTACGGAGTGCGCACCTGCGAGGGCTGCAAGGGATTCTTCAAGCGAACGGTCCAGAAGGGCTCCAAGTACGTGTGCCTGGCGGACAAAAACTGTCCGGTGGACAAGAGGCGGCGAAACCGCTGCCAGTTCTGCCGCTTCCAGAAGTGTCTGGTCGTGGGTATGGTCAAGGAGGTGGTTAGAACCGATTCACTGAAGGGCCGAAGGGGACGCCTTCCCTCCAAACCAAAGTCCCCCCAGGAGTCACCGCCATCGCCGCCCATTTCCCTGATCACCGCCCTCGTGCGCAGCCATGTGGACACCACCCCGGATCCCTCCTGCCTGGACTACACCCACTATGAGGAGCCGTCCATGAGCGAGGCGGACAAGGTGCAGCAATTCTATCACCTGCTGACTAGCTCAGTGGATGTGATAAAGCAGTTTGCCGAGAAGATACCCGGCTACTTGGATCTCACGCCGGAGGATCAGGAGCTGCTCTTCCAGAGCGCCTCCTTGGAGCTATTCGTTCTCAGGCTTTCGTATCGCGCCCGAAGCGATGACACCAAGCTAATCTTCTGCAATGGCACGGTCCTGCATCGTAGCCAGTGCCAGCGATCCTTTGGAGAATGGCTGAACGACATCATGGAGTTCAGTCGCAGTCTGCATAGCCTGGAGATCGATATCTCGGCCTTTGCCTGCCTATGTGCCCTCACTCTGATCACAGGTAGGTTGATTTTCTAAAAAATATTAAACATTTTTATAAAAAAAATTACATTTCCTTATTTTTAACATTACTTTCAATACTATTATTTTAATTAATAGAACGCCATGGCCTCCGGGAGCCTAAAAAAGTGGAGCAGTTGCAGATGAAGATCATTGGCAGCCTGCGGGATCATGTCACCTACAATGCCGAGGCCCAGAAGAAGCAACACTACTTCAGCCGGCTCCTGGGCAAGCTTCCCGAGCTGCGATCCCTCAGTGTCCAGGGACTGCAGCGCATCTTCTACCTGAAGCTGGAGGATCTAGTGCCGGCGCCAGCTCTCATCGAGAACATGTTCGTCACCACACTGCCCTTCTAGAGGGCTACCACACCATCATCACAACTCTGCTTCCTTAAAATAGAATTAAGTAATGCCCCCTAAGATATATATAGGTAAACCCATGAAAAACCCTACATAACTCTAGATCTAATAGAACACCGAAATAAATAAATCTCACTGAAAAGAAACAGAATAAAAACGGAAAGAAAATAAAGTAGACCCAGGCCATATCTTTAGAGTAGAGGTGTAGATATATATATAGTTTCGTTGGACAGCACCGCCCCGTGGATAATTACGGACATGAATATTTGAGAGGCAGAGAGGGTTTCCAGCAGTGGAGACCACAACTCCTGCGTGACTCGTCGTCAGGTCTGGAAATTACCTACAACTTGTTGACGTTAATTGTTAAATTGTTTAATTTTAACTGTCAAAATCAATAGGCAGGCACGCAACGGAATCACTTTCAATCGTATCCCCCTGGACTCGAGCTTGCTCAACGGACAAGCGGACACACGGACAAACGGACACCACACGCTCTCTTGCCTTTTTGCTAAATTCTAGTCAATTGTTTTAGGCAACAAAAAAAAAAATATACAAATATTAAAATATATACATAAAGTAAAGCTGCAGCAATAGAGTTATAATTTAAATCACAAATTGGAAAACTTCAGTAAGGATCTTTTTTAAGGTACTATCCCTATTCCAGTTTTTGGAAATCAACTATCATATCATATAGCAATGCCATGCTTGCCGTTAGCTAATATATATAGACCCGCAGATAAAGATAATACACCCTATTTAATATTTCTATTAAATCATAGTCTAAGGCTTCTTTATTAGACTAAGACTAAGGTTCTGTTCGATTTTTCAATGCACTCGATTAGTGCACGATGAGAGTTAAGGTACCTTTTTGTGATGATTGTGTCTGACACAGAGAGAGTTGCACACAAACACACAAACTAGTTGATAAGTAATACTATAAATAAATAATATCTAAAAAGGAAGTTACCCCTTTAAACTAAAACCAGTGAAAAAGAACCCTTTGATTTAACCTTAACCACTCCAAAACTATGTTCTCAAAGAAACGCAAAATGGATTCTCTACGTGTGTGTTATTTCTATGGAAAACCCCTCTATGTGATTTTGTGATAGATTGGCATTGAACTCTATATTTATATATATAACAAAAACAAATAAAAAAAAAACATATATATATATATATGTCTAAAATATATATATGGATAAATATATATTTTTATGTCTAACTTTTTGTATGGTTTATTTTATACGTACAACTTTTCTTTGATAACGAAACAAGAAAAATAAAAAATATCGTTAGCTAGCAAATATAATAAATGTACGTTATGAGGAAATTTCAAAAGTATAAAAGCCTTTAGCAATTTTCCAATTAATGTTTGTATTACAAGAAGACATTTTCTATGTGTAAAATTCAAGACTTCTACAAAATAATATTAATATTCTATAAAAAACAAAAAAAATGTATGAAAAACATATCTCTTCAAGCTTTCAAATGCACATAACACACAGAACAGAATCCCAGAAGTGTTATAAGTATATTGGCATGCCCAGAGAAAATAAAGAAATTTCAGTAACTATAAACTTTAGATAGATCATTAATAAATTATTGTACTTGTAGCACATCAAATGTTCGACAACTAGATTTTGTATCATCTTTAAGAAGAACTTAGGCCAAGATAAACTAAGTATAAACCATGATCTGCATGCGGCTAAGCTGAAGCTAAATAACAAAATAAAATAATAATAATAATAATACATCTTAAAAACTATCCTAATCGAGAGTTGAGAAGTTTAGAAAAAAAGCAAAAAACATAGAGCAATAATTAAGGATAATGCACTCTGAAAAGTAACTACAACTAAAAGTAAACTAAAACTAAACCTGAACTTGTAACGGTTAGGAACTGGATTATAAACAGGATTACACAGGAACAGTTAGGTGACCAAAACAGTTTGAAACGAGACGTTAGATAGGTTCGGGTTCGAAACCCTCAAAGCGATGCCATTTTTTAGCCGTTACAACAATGAGTACATACATTGGTATATCAATCATGCACATGAATATTATTCAAATTATTGAAATATATACTATATTTAGGATTTAGGAACCTACTTTGTACCTACACACACTCACACACATCCACACACCACAAACATCTACATAAGGATAAAAGAAATATATATATTTTGAATAGAGAGACAACTTTTACAAGTTAGAAAGTACTTCTGGCACAAGAAGCTATAGCTGGATATGGCCATACCGAAGCGAACATATATACATACATATACCTATATAGTTTGGTTTATTGTTCTTTTTGTAATTTTATAAATGCATACATATTTACTACGTGAATGTCAAGTGTGGATTCATATTTTTGAGATACCGTTACAAACAGTAAAAAAATAAAAAAAAAAAACAAATGTGAAATTTTTCGATAAAACGATTTTAAATGAGAACTTTTTGCTTTTTGCTATAAAAATGATATATACACATTAATAAAAACATACATATATATTTTACTATGTAACAGTTAGAATTAAGCTAGAAGCAGCGCATAAAGCTTTATACATAAAAAAAAAAAACAGAAAAAGAAAACTTACAAAGAAAATTGGCACAAATTAAATTAAAAATAGTATTAATTAGGCGTTTTTTTCTAAAGATAATATTATTCGTCAAATGTTATATCTTCAGCAGACACACACACCCCCACACACTCGGTTAGAAATCCCCACAACAGATATCTTAAGCTATATCCAACCTAATTATGCGCCTACTACTAGCAAAGGATAGAACACAGTGAATGGAGGTGAAACCTAAAGACGCTATATGTATACAACATAACATATATCTATCTGATAGATGAGTACCGATACCGAGGAGCGTTATAGCTACATTACTTACATACTATATAGCCCGTTGTGTAATTTTATTCTTATTTGATTGTATCATTTTGAAAATTAAGAAACCTGCAATTCAATTACATAAATCCGCAATATGAGATACCAAGCAAAGCGAATCATTTCATTTCGATTTACGATTAAATTTACTGTTAAATTAAATACCTAAATATGTAAGCCCAAAAACCAGAAAAGTTTTTCTATATCTGTCTTTTGAGCAAATTAGTTATACGAAAACCAAACCGTATTTACATAAATGTATACAAAACAAATCGTATATTTTCATTGGTTTGAAATAAAAACATAAAACAATTTATATTTCTTTTCATTATTTTTGGTGGTTTACAAAAACGTTTCTTTTAAAAGTACATAGGTATTCAAATTTCACAAGTCTTTGTTGATTTTCGTTGACCCTGTATTGGTCCAGATGTCTTTTATAAACTATAGGAGTTCTTATTCTAACAATTTTTAAAAAATATATTTAAAATTTACACTCTGATTGGCAGTCTTATTTACAAAAGCTAGACTAAAACTTTAAAGCTTAAACGTAAACGGGTAGATATGAGACGATATTATTCCGACAAACAGGACAACGGTACTGCGAGTGCATTTGAAGCTGTTGGGAGCACTCCTTGCACAGGCAGAGGTGGCGACAGGGCATCACCACAATGTTCCTGCTTCGCTCCAAGCAAACCACACATCCTCCACGGTTCGGTGACCTGGCTGCCGGATCATTCCATATCTTCTGCATGAAACTAGTCATCCGCTGCTCGGTCCACAAGCAGATACTCTGCGATTTTTTTGAGATTTCGATACGTGCTTGTACAAGAAGGTAGATCAGCAGCAAAAAAACATATCGCCGGAACATATAGAGAACCAAGAGCAACGACAATCCAATGCTTAAACGGAAAATGTTGTTGACCAGGCTGAGGCCACGTGCTAATATTACATCCACCACGAAATCCAGCACATATTCGAAGAGGAGAAGGACCATCTTCGGAGGAAGGAAAAGAATCCACAAGGCGAGAGTTCCCAGGTCGATGAGCAGGTCGAAAATTCCCATTCCCACGTATTGCATGCAATCCCGAGCGATACGCAGACCTCCGACGGTTCCGTCGTAAAAGTACTCCGTAACATCCTGCGTTATGTTGAAAAAGTCACAGAAGTGTCGATGGACTTCGATGGCGCCACATTTTAAGAGATTCCATGCCCGGCTGGTGCCCTCCACCAAACAGTAGCCAACAAAGTTGCTGCCCCACAGAAAGTAGTAAATGCCGGTGACCACGCCATTTATTACATATTCCAGGGGGCCAAGGATGCAATTGTCCACAAGCTCCACCACTAGGACTAGAAAGTACAGCATTTTAAGTGCATTTTAATTAAAAAAATAATCAAAACGAAATAATCAAAACAGAAAACACAAAATAATAGTGCCGGTGGATAAGTGTTACCAGATTCGTATTTTTAAAAAGTCTTATTAGGGGGGAAGTACTTAATATATGAATTTATGAAATACTTCTCAAAACTAACTGATTTACTGAATTTGTAATTCAATGATTACAATAAATTCTAATATTTAATATTTATCTATCAAGTATTTAAATTAAGCTTTCAGAGAACCTAAACCATACAAGTTCTAATACCAATTTTTTGAACCTAATGAATTTTCTTAAGACCAATTTATAGCTTCACTAATAGTTGACTAATAGCGTTTTTTATATTAGTCAAAGATTTTCTTAGTTTTGTTCAATAACAATTTTAAATTTAAACAACATTAATGATACCGTTGCTAATAGTTACCAAAAATACCTAACCTTAAGTCATCTGGCAACTCTGTGGTTTGGGCGTGTTTCATTCCCATGACGCGAAGTGTTTAGTAAACAATTTTCTTTTTTTAATTTAATTGTATAATTTTAAATCGAAATGGGGGCGTCTAATCGCACCACACAAGTGGCCCTTGGCGTGTCCGCGTTCTCCTTTCTCCTTTTCGTCATAGCCTTCTCCACGCCCTATTGGCTGGTTACGGATGGGCGTTTAAACGATCCACGATTCACGAACTTGGGACTCTGGGAGGTGTGCTTCAAGAACTTCCAGGACATCCACAGGTTCTACGACAACCGATTCACTGGTTGCATGTGGGTCTTCGAGGAGGAGTACTACATCATACACGATTTCCTGCTTCCTGGCTTTTACATTGCCGTCCAACTGTTCGCCACGCTGTGCTTCGTGATGTGCCTCCTCGCTCTGCCATTGACGCTCATGTTCCTGCGCACTTCCCGTGACGACGACCGTTATGTCGTCCTGCTCCTGTCGGTGGGAACGTGCCAGGTCTTTGGTTCCATATTCGGATTTATTGCTGTCGTCATCTTTGGGGCCAAGGGTGACTCCCGTGACTGGATGCCCGGATGGCAGAACAACGATATGGGCTGGTCATTTGCCTTTGCAGTAGTTGGGTCTGTGCTGCTCCTGCCCGCAGGCATTCTGTACATGGTGCAAGCCCGACGAGAGCGCTACAAGCGCCTCAATGAGATCAGCAACAGGGAGATTAGCGAGTACGGCGACGACTACTACCAGCATCAGGCGGCAGCAGCCGCTCCAGCCCCATCCGCTCCATCGCCATCGCAGTCCTACTTTGCCCCCGAGCCAAGCCGGCCAAGACGCCCGCAGCCAGGACGTGCTCCTAGCGCTCCTCCCCACGGAGGAATCCAAACAGATATTTAAATCTGACGAAGTACCGAAATAACCGTCCATATCCGCAAACATTCGAATACTAGCATTTAACATTCCGTCCAGAAAGTGCACACATACATGCCTTATATGTATTTTAAACTTACACGTAATCTCCATAAGCTATATTTTGTATTGTCCTTTGTGTTTTTAGTCCAAAGCATGTTTTTTAAAATATATATTAAACATTTTATACACAAATATTAGAAATCTTTGAGATAAAAGATAGGAATGATTTTTAAATAATATCATTTGAATGTATTTAAACTAAAACATAGTATATGAGTAACCTAAACACCACTTCCTGGTGGTTAACTACTTTCAAGGCCTCCATTTCCGATCCCCAGCTTGCCAAGCAAGCTGATCAACTCGCTGTTGGTCCTCATAACAGCCATAACCTCCTGCTGCTGCTGCTGCATCACTCGCAGCCGATTCCTCTCCTCTATCTTGGCCAGCTGGTTGTTGTTATTTATGGTCTTGGTATCCACATCGAGCTTGAGTTCCGACTTGATGTGATACAGTTCATCGCGTATGCCATTGAGCTTTCGCTCGCAGTCGCGTACATCCTTCTCCAGGATCTGGGTTTTCAGATACACAGTCTGGGCCAACTTGTACCAGTCTGCCAGGCACTCGGCTATTTGGGCCACCGCAGGGTTAACATTATCCAAAAGCAATGCTTTGATGCGCTTGCCATTGTGATCTACTTTGATCTTCTCCAGTGCATGGAACTGTTCGTCGTTGTAGGTGAGGGTACGGGTGGCGCGATCACGAAGCAAATGCTGCCAGGAGTCACGTAGACGTTCTACCAGATACTTGGCTTGGGCACTGGCCCGTGTCCGGCAGGGACACTTTTTCCCATGCATGGATGATGTCCATTGGTCGCTGAAATGGTAAAATTTATTAATTAAGTTATAAAATTTATTAAAAGGGTCATATACTTGAGTTCATCGTCAATAACGAAATGTTTGTGCAACTGAGAGATTACATCGGCAGCGCCATCAAAATCGCCCTTGGCATTGTCCAGGGTATTCAGCAGGGCCTTGAGCTCTTGGTCTCCCTTTGTCTAAAATAGATAGGTATTACACATGTCCTTAATTAAAAGGTGTTATAACCTACCACCCTGGCCATGCTCTGAACCACATCTGCATAATCTATTACTGTGGAAAGCAGATTATCAAAGCCCTCAGTTTTTCTAAAGACAACAAAATTATGATTATAATGATACAGGACCTTAAAGATGACTACAACTTACTTTAACAATAAAGTAATTGTTGTAATAAGCATCTCTATGAACTGCTCTACGCCCTTTTTGATTAGGATGTCCATGGAAGTAAAGATATCCACCCGCCTCTTGCACTCGTGACCCACACTGCAGGCTGCTTTGGCGAGGCTGGCATCGTTCTCCACCGAAACATTGGGAGGGAAAATGGGGAACTTGGGCAGGTCTAGTTGCTGGGGCAGCTGCACATTGTTGTCATCGTTGCTGTAAAGGAATATGGGCTGCTCCGTGGTGGTAGCAGGGAAGGCTTTAGCTGGAAGAGAGGACAATTTTTCATAAATATTTCAAACCATATAATTAGATCCAGGCATACCTATAGTCCTGGGCGTAACCTTTTTCTCCAAATGCTCATTGTTGAAAAGCAATATCTGCTTCTCCAGTGGAACCTCCGTCTGCAGGAATATTCGCTCCCTGAAGTTGTCAATCTGCTCGTCTGGCTCCAGAAAAACCTCCACAGAACTCGTCCGGTTCATGTAGAAGACGTGGATCACTCGCTTGCGAAGAATGAGAGTTACTTCTTGGAAGAATCGATCAAACGACCAGGTCTTCTCCCTATTCTCCTCCAGCAGGCCGGCCAAAAGGGGAGTCACCAGAGTCTTTAGTCCCTGCGAGAGATGTGCATGTGGCGGCAGAGTTGTGGACCATTCAATAGGTCCGTTCTCCGATAACTGCGTTCCAGATATTACTCCAGAAGCTTTCTTGGTTGTGATCTGATGCATGGTTTCGCGATTCTTTCTGCCACCAAAGGGTCTGAAGGGCAGGTTTCCGGTGGCCACATGGTACAGGGTCACGCCAATCGACCAAAGATCCACATTTGCTGTAAATGAACGCTGAATGGACTTTCTCAGCACCGCCCTCTCATAGAGATCAGGATGCAGATACTCCTCGGTTCCGTAGAGCGAGGCAAATGGCTGATTATCCTCCAGTTCACGGGCAGCTCCGAAGTCTGTGAGCTTGTAGATGGTCTGCCCGTCTTCTGAGATGAATTTCATGATATTTCCTGGCTTCAGATCCCGATGCACCAGTTTGTTGTCCCTCAAATGCTTCATTCCTGCACAGAGGTGCTCCAAAACAAGCAAGAACTCGTGCTCTGGCAAACCATACGAGTTCTCCGGGTCGTCGAGAATGTTAAAGAGACTTCCCCCAGTGCAGAGCTCCATAACAATCACCTTGCCACGTCCTTCCTGGTCCTCCTCAATGGCCAGGAGTTTCACTATGTTCTCATGGTTTACCTTCTTCAAGGCCTCGAATTCTCGCATCTGGACATCAGCCGGGCGCATGTGACTGTATGGGTTGAAGGTCTTAACGGCCACCGATTCGCCGGTTATCTTGTTAACCCCCTGAAGTGAAATTGCAGATAGAAGTGAGTCAGGTGGGGAAATCTTTGGGGAAAAGTGTAAACCACCTGGAAAACGGATCCGGTGGCTCCTTTGCCCAGCACACTGGTGGTGCACCACACATAGCTGACCGAACCACGCAGGAAAGACATTGTTTACGCTCTATATTGTTTATTTTGAGTGAATATCAAAGGCCTGCATCGAAACAAAAACACCTTCAATGCAGGTATATATTAGAGATGGCAATTTCGGACAAAACTATCGAAAAGCACAGATGCAGGAAGAAAGCACTGTGACTTCCTTCCACCGATAGTTGCTATTTCGATACCTACCTATCGCTGGACTCCCATCGCCAGTTTTTTGTTGTTTTACGTGCGCGTTGACATTTTTGCAGCGCTTTTTAATTTATTATTATTTTTAACTAGGAAATTATGAAGTAGGATATGTGTGTGGCGTCTCTCGTAGCCGGGACATACAAAATAGTAACAATCGCGTCTACCCATGACCGCCGCGTACGTAACAACCCGAAAAAACAAGCAGCGCGAGTCGCGAATATTTGCAACGCTTTGGTTAAATAGAGTATAAGTAGCTAAAAAGATGCACCTCCGCCTGCATTTGGTGCGCTTCATGTACATAAATCTGCTGCTGAGGTAAGCCAACCACGAAAGATCAATAAAACAGAGGGTGGATTCTTGTAACATGCATTTTCCTTTGCCTGCATCTTGCAGCTGCTGTTTCTGGCTCTACGACAATGTGGCGGCAGAAAAGGCGGAACCAGATGCCAGTAGCGAGGATGCCAGGGCGCCTGGAACTCTTCTGCCAGAGCAGCTGCAGCAGGAGCTAGCCAAGCCAGAGACCTTGCCGCCACCTCTACCGCCGCCCGATGACGAGGCCGGAGAACCCCCCACAAAAGCTTTGGAGTCGGAAAATGGCAATTGGCCAAGAACTGGGGACACGTCAGTGCCCGTGGAGGAGGCGGAAGAGCCCTCGGCCCTCAGTGTAAATAGTAATAGTGAATATGTTGTTAGTAAATTCGATTTAGCCTCCAATGAGAGTGCGGCGCCGCTTGACAAGGCCACGGATGCCTCGTCCTCCTCCTCCTCCTCCACCACCGCCCAAGTGCCAAATAATCAATTGAATAATCATAATCCTAATAGTGTCGATAAAGTGGATAGTGTTAGTGAATCGCAGCCATTAGAGAGCCCAAAGGAACCGACAGAGCAACAGAAGCAGGACTCGCCGCCGCCGCCGCCAGAACGAAAGGCTGACGATAGGTGAGTGTTGATTTTTATTGATTTTCTTAAATTGTTTCTATATTCTATTTCATTTAGCTAAGTGCACTTGACTTTTAGCTTTTTGTTTTTGTTGTTGTTGTTGTTTGTACTGATAAGCTCTATGGGGCGTTTTGCTGGGGAATGTGCCTGTTTCCCGCTGGCGTAATTGTGGCTATCAATACGAAAGTATTTCCCCAATAGACGTGACATAGTCGATTGAACTTGAATTTGAATAAAACATGAACCCGTACACAGAAAATAATTCTTAGTATTAATATTAGTATTAAAATAGTTTAAGTTTTAGGATATAAGTTATATATTATAAAAACTATAATAAACTCTTAAGAAAAAATAATATTCATTCAGTAAAAAATAAGATAAAAACATTCCATCATGAAATGACCTTTAATTTACGCATTCAACTCTTATCGGCAGTATATGGTGGTATAGGGGTTCTATATTTAATCCTTATCTGGGGGTTTTGGGCTCTCGGTTTTGTTGGTGTCACGTCTTGAGGCCGAAGGCACGACTCAAGTTCGTTCACATCGACATCTGGGCGAGATCATAGTCGTCTTTCACTCATTCCATGTGCTGGCAAGGTCACTTCATTTCCTATAAATAGCACTGTCCAATCCATTATGATTATCGATGGACTACTGTCTACTGTCTGATATTCGAAACCGGCGCATTTTCTGTAAAATTTTCTCAGGCATTTTCCTCCTTCCACCATTTCCCTCTGTTTTGTTTACTTTTTTGCACGCGACACCGTGAATCTTTTCCCCACTGAAAATGCACTTACAATTACTGATAATTGCTTTCGCCCAGCAACCCACCCGTGCCTTATGCACATTAATACTTACTATATATAGCATATAGTATAACCCATCCGTATTTGTTTACGTTTCATTGATAGAGTCGTTTCCCAGCTATTTTATTTTGATTAACTGCACTCGTTGATGATTTCCTACGTAACTGCGGCTTTATTTATAGCGCATTGTTGGCGCCTATCACGTACTAGATACTTATCTTATCTAAGTCAGTTAGCAGGTTGGATTTTTTTAATTGCATGGGGTTGGGTATGACTTGGTCTTGACACTGAAAGGTGTTTAATGAAGTCAGCTGTTTGATGAAATAATTAAGTTTAGTTGGGATAAGTTAAAGAATGTTTCTAGAAGTATTTTTTGAGGTGGTTATTTAGTGTAGAAATTTTAGAAAATTTTTAAATCTAATCGTAGTTTTTTTTTATAGTTCTCTAGTTTAGATGTTCAAGAATATCTCCTATCCTATCTTTAGGATAATATAGATATATTATCTATCTATAAAAGAGGTTTTAAAAATTTTAATTCTTTTCAAAGTTATGACGCTTTTTGTTAAAACTTTAAACGGTTTTTTTCTCGAAAGATCTTTTTTTTTACAAAGTTGATACGATATCTCTAGTTTTTAACATTTGAATTTCTTAAAAATTGTCATGAATATTCCTTAAATACCTCATTATCAGAAAAACCCCCAAAATCTAAGCTTTTTCTATTCTAACTATTTTAAAATAATTAGGCAATGTTAAGAAAATAGTAAAAAAAAATCGATTTTAGTTTTTGACAGCCGCTATTTTATAAAAAAAAAAATTTTCTCTCGTTTGGGAGGTTTTTTTTATAAAGCCTTTCTTTAAGAATAAGAATTAACCCCTTTGTTCGACTTTGATATAGCCACAGGACCCAGAATCGTGACGACCAGAACACCACCTATTTTTTCACTCTACTTTTCAAATGCATATTTTCATGAGAAATAATTTGTATTTTATTTTACCCTTTCATTTTATACTTTTTAAATATAAATAAACAAATTAGAAACAAAATGGGAGCTAAAAATGTATAACCTTTATTTTTTACTAGTTTCTAAAAACTTCTCAAAACTCCAGATTTAAAATTCAAAATTAAAATTACATGAGAAGATTACAATCTCTATAAGTTTAAAAACCTCTACTAATCACTACACCATGCTTTACTCTTAAAGAATTTGATTAAAAATTACTAAAAATTTTTAATTTAATTTTGTTATATTAAAGCTTATGTATTAAAAGTTGTAAGCTCCTGCGATTTCTTTCCTTAAAAATCCTATACCCCCCTAAGGCTTATTTAAACGAAAATTTGGAAATATATTTCAAATAATAACTCATATGCATGCATTTTGTAACCGGCGGCAAAACTATATATGAATTATATCCGAAACTGTCTCTGTCGAGGGGGATGGATAGGATATCGCCCAATAGCCACCGCCATAGCCATCGCCATCGCCACCCGTATCCAACGTAAAGTCTGGCCATACCCCACGCGCTGTCTTGTCACAATGCCTTTTGCCGGTAATTTGCTTTACAGTTTTTCAATTTATTTTACCTCGTCCCGCTTGGCGTGAGTGTACTTTCTAAATGCCTCCTCCGTCAGTCACTCTGGGCCTATCTATTGGTGGCCGGTCATTTCATTCAGTTCCATAGAGGCAGGTGAGAGACGAAGATACGGTTTACGATTCCCAGGCACTGTAGGTGCCCGCCAATGTCATTAGGTTGAGTTTTACGAGGTATCAGGGATTAAATGGAAATATTTTAAATATATTTGAAATAAAATATTAAAGATTAATTATAAAGGCAATGCTTGTAAAGCTTTAAATATGGTTTATCAAGAGGTATACATTGTTAACATCCCCACAAGTCTAGCATACCCCTTCTCCAATTAAAACCACTCGGTATTTATGGCCATTTTTTATTACCAGATCCTTTAAAGGCCTCGCTGAGCACATTTCCATATCGCTGCTCTATCGAGGGTGGCGGCAAGAGTGTTAAATGGTATCGAATCAGAGCCTGGCTTCGATTTGATGTCATGTTTGTGTCTGGCCTGGCCCGTAAATGGCTTTATCAGTATGGAAAATGTACTTTCATTTTTCTGGCAAATGCAGCAGCTCCTCTTGTCCAATACAAGGCATATGGCATAAATAAATGTATCCCCAGTCCATGCTACTCTGGCGGGTAGCACGCAGCCAACAGAATCAAAATCGACTTGGCCTTCCACTACCACTACTACTACTATTACTAACTAACTAACTGGCAGGTGATCGGCTGTGCGAATCTTTCGCTAGTTGGGGGCATTACTTTCACTTTCAATGCAAAAAGGACTCTCCAATGAGACTTTACAATCTGGGCTTTCAAATCATCATGCATCATGATCTTGTTTAGTGTAATCAAACTTGGAGAAAAACCATTATCAAGTGTGGACAATAAAGTCAACCATCCAGAGAAAGAAAAATATTTTAAAAAAATTGAAAGGGGTTTTAAAAGTTTGAAATGTTTGTAGACTTTATAGAGAAGCCTATATTATACCGATTTATAGTATATAAATATAGATTTATAGAGATAGTATAACACATATTATATTATTTAAATACACCTGATTTCGGGCTTATAAAGTACATATGTATATACTATTCATCAGGATCATCTCCTGAGTCGTCATAAGCCTGTCCGCGTGTCCGCGAATCTGTTTCAACGCTTGCTCGTCTCTCAACCTTTAAAGATATTCTTTTTAGACCTCCTTTTTAGAACTATATACTATAGCTACCATAGAGCTGAAAGCTGATCGAGAATGCCATAACTTATGTGTTTTTAAAGATAGAAGGTTGGGATCTGGTTCCGACACTGTTTTTGATCAAAAAATAGATTCCAGACAACTTAAATAGAATCCCACTACTATATTCTATAGCTAATCGGTATAAAGTCTTTATACCATATAACGGATTGATCGGAAGAACCATAACTTTGTGGTTTTAAAAGTTGGATAAGAAGGTTTGGTTTTGCTCTATATACTATTTTTGGTGAAATAATAGGTTCTAGACAATTTCACTGAGATCGGGCGACTATATTCCATAGCTACCCTACAACTGAACGAACCTAAATGCCATAATCTAGATTTTATACAGTTGAGATCTGCTTTCGATACTAATTTTGATCAAATATTTGATTCTCCACAATTTCAATAAAATCGGTCAACTATATCCTATAGATACCATATTAACAAACGACCGAAAAAGCCATAGCTTTGCGGTTTAAAAATATAGTAGGTTGGGCTTTGCTTTAAATACTATTTTAGGTGAAATAATAAGTTATACACAATTTCAATATAATCGGTCGACTATATTCTATAGCTACCCTACAACTTCCCTTTGGAAAGATCGGAAAAGTCATCACTTTGCAGATAGAAGCTTGAAATTATTTTTAAAAAATTTATATTTTAGAAAATGGTTGTGAAACTTATATTGCTCATATTAAGAGTTTATGTTTTGTACTTTTAGTCTCTCATTTTTCTCAGTGCATCCTTTCTTAACCATCAAATTCACAGATTGTTGATGCAAATGTCTCGGAACTCACCTCCGCAGGATTATTTATGCACTCCCCCCTAAAACACTGCTGTCAATGATCGCTCAACGATCCTCATCTGATGGATCCACCATCTCCCACGAAACATAAAATTTGATCTTATCGAGGATAGCCTCACCTAGTCTGGACTAGCCTAGCCCCTGCCCGGCTCGTCTCAATGTCCGAATACTTAATTGATTGTGAGCGTGCGCCCATTGACTTTCGTCAATCAATTTTGATCGGAGATCGCGGTTAGCTGATCGCCTGACGATCGCCGATTACTGATCCCGTCCGTAACATAAAAACTGCATTGATTAAGCCAATGTCGCACTACGCCTTCACCTGTTACTTGTTTTTTTTAAATATAATTGTTGGAATTCCTCCTCTCGTAGGCGCCTCTCAAAATGAAAAGTCAGTCTCCCCGATTGAGAGACTGAGGTTGTTGGAGGAAAAGCCGGTTCCTAGGTTGGCCGGCATTTTTCTCTCAAGTCTTGTTGGCTCTCTGGCTCTGGCGTTGGTTATTTGTAACTGATTATCTGGCGAAAATGGCAGGGAAATATGGTAAGAGCGAGAAAGACCCACAGCCCAGACATAGACGTGT